GAGGCCCTTGTGATGGGTGTGTGAGATCAGAAATTGAGGCCTGGAAGGGAAGCAAGAGGGATCCTTAAGGTGAATGAGGACTGGGGTGTGGTGATTGGCCACCACAGGAGTGGAAGTGTCCCAGACTACTGGGTTAACTTTTTCGGGGGAAATGGGGAAATCGGATGAAGGCTCCGGGGAGAAGACAGCACAGGCGAGGGCCAGGAGCAGAGTTGGGGGAACTCAGTGTGAGGTGAGGGAAATAGATGCCCCGAGCTTATACAGAAGGTCTCGTCCCAGCAAAGGGGCTGGGCAGGATGGGATAACTAAGAATGAATGGGTGAAGGGACGGCCTTCAAAAAGGTAGGACACCGGACCCGTCTCTAGAGGCTTGGAGGGTACCCCCGAGATGCCCACAACCGAGACCTGAGAAGGATGTAAAGGCCTGTGGAAGGAGAGTAAAACAGAATAGGTAGCCCCCATGTCCACCAAAAGGGAGATGGACTTACCCGCTACCCATAGTGTGGCCCTGGGCTCAGCAAGGGTGATTGGGTTGTTCGAGTACAGGCGGCTTCAACCGTCCAGGAGGCCCAGGAGCTCTGGCGAGGGGTCCGTTGGGGGAGCCGGCCCCCCGTGAAACTCTGTCGCCAGGGGATGGTCCTCCCCCAGGGGGCACTCGAACTTCCAAGGTCCCTTTGTCTGCAGACCGGGCAAGGTCGAGTCAGTGGCCTGGGGTTGGGGCATTGCTTTGCCCAGTGGCCTTCCTGGCCACACCTGAAGCAGGGTCCTGGAGGCGTTCAGGTCTCGGACTGTTTCCTGAGATGGGGGCCCTGAGGCCCCTGTTGTGCAGGCCGCAGGGCAATGACTAGGGCTTGGGTTTAAAGGGCCACCTTCTGTTTTAGCCTTTGGGCCCGTATGGCCTTGGCTTCCTCCTCTCAGGCATTATAAACTTTAAAGGCCATATTTACCAGGGCTCTGAGTGGAGTCTAGGGGCCCTCCTCCGCCTTTTTAAGCTTGCGCCGGATGTCCGGAGCGGACTGGGTGATAAAGTGGGTAGCTAAGACTGTGAACTCTGGCGGTGAGGAAGGGTCCAAACGAGTGTGAAGGGTAAGAGCCTCTGTTAAACGATTAAGGAAAGAGGCTGGGTTTTCATCCGGCTCCTGTGTGATTTCCCTCAGTTTGTCATAGTTAACGGCTTTTTGAGCTGCCTTTTCCATCCCCGCAATAAGGCAGCAGACCATTTGATCCCTTCTAGTTCTACCTGTGGCACCATCCTGATAGTTCCATTGTGGGTCCTCGGCAGGCACCGCTGTGGCCCCGACCGGCAAAGAATGATCAGAGTTATGTACCTGATCAGCGTAGTCCTGAGCTGCTGAGGTGATGTGATCGCGCTCCTTGGGAGTGAGGGTGGAGGTTAAAATTACGTGGAGGTCGTGCCACATGAGCTCGTATGCCTGAGAGAGGTATCGAAACTCTTTAGTGTTGGCAGTTGGGTTGGCAGAGTAGGAGCCTAAGCGCTTTTCAATCTGGGACAGGTCCCCCAGGGAGAAGGGAACATGCACCCGAACCAGTCCCTCAGCACCTGCCACCTCCCGAAGAGGGGCCAGTAACTGGGCCCGGGACCTGGTAACCGGAGGGCTGGTCCATTTAGAGGGTGGTGTAGGATTGTAAGATGGCGGCAGGGTGAGTGTAGGGAATGAGGTGGGAGGAGGGCAAGATGGTGGTGACGACGGAAGAGGAGGGTACAGCTTGTGGGTGGCTGGGGCAGAGTTGGAAACAGAGGAGTCAGATGTGACATCAACAGGACCAGAGGAGGAAGGCAGTGTCTCCATGGCAGTAGGGACGGAAGTGGATGGGGGAGGGGAGCCGACCGAACCCGGAACGACTGGAGCAGAGGACAAAGGAATTAGAGATGGCAGGCTGGGGAAAGAGTTGGATATAGGAGGGGCAAGATGGGAGGTAAGGCAAGAGCAGACACCAGAGGGGTCTGAGTGGAGGAGGTCCGGGCACAGGAGGTGGGGTAAGGAAGGGGTTGGGAAAGAGCAGACAATTGAGAAGAGGCGGACGGGAGGGGAGGAGAAGGAGGGGTAGGAGCTGGAGGGGGAAGGCCAAGGTCCTCCGGAGGATCTGCAAAGGAAGATTCCAACGCCGGGAGAGGCTGATAGACCCTATTAGGGGATTTGGCCAGGAGGAACTGGGCCGAGGAACATCTGATGCAGAGAACTGGGTGGGAGCGCAATGACCAAAAGGCCTGGATATAGGTGACCTCGGACTATTTTCCAGTCTGGTGACAATAATTACTGAGATGGGTGAGGAGGCCGAAATCGAAAGTTCCCTCGGGGGGCCAGTGAGACTGATTGTCCAGAGGATATTGGGGCCAGGCCCGGGAGGAAAGGAAGATCACCTTCCATTTACGGATATCCTCGGACAACCCCAGAGTAGCCAGATTAGATATGAGACACCGCAAGGGGGTCTGGGCCTTAGTTTTAGAAGGCTGGCTTCCCATGGCCGCAACCTCCGTTCCTGGGTCCCTAAACAAGCAGGCCCAGCGTCCCAGACCCGCTCAGAATAGGGACGGAAAGGAAGATCTGCTTCTGTTTATAGGGTTGGCGATCTGGAGATAGGGACGTCTCCACTACACTGGAGCAATCATTGGTTGGGACAGCTGTTGCGTCTGCTGGCAATTGGCTGAACGGGGTTGTTAGAATCACTGTAACAATACTGGCTGGCTTTGCGGCTGGGGTCTTAGTTCTGGTTACTCATTTTTGCTGGCTCACTTCTGCCCATTGTTCTCCTAGTCCAGGTTGGAGCCATCTTGTTGAGGCCCACCCCACCCTCTGGTACCTCCAGCCTTACACTTACTACCTCTTATCATTTTTATTTTTTATTTTATTTTATTTTATTTTATTTTATTTTTTAGTATGAGTCTCACTCTGTCACCCAGGCTGGAGGGCAGTGGCATGCTCCCGGTCACCACAGCCTTGACAATCAGGCAATCCTTCCGCCTCAGCCTTCCAACTAGCTGGAACTACAGGCACATGCCAATACACCTGGCTAATTTTTTTATTTATTGTACAGATGAGGTCTCCCAAGTTGCCCAGGCTGGTCTCTAACCCGTGGACTCAGACAATGCTCTTGCCTAGGCCTCCCAAAGCGCTGGGATTATAGGAATGAGCCACCATGCCTGGCTTCTTTGAATGGGTTGTAACATCTACTTGGTTTTCTCAATCAATAAGTTAAGTAAAATCTTTTTTTTTAATTATTTATTTCTTTCTGTCTTTAATTTTTTTTTGAGTTGGAGTCTCACTCTGTCACCCAGACTGGAGTGCAGTGGCCACTCCCGGCCACCGCAGCGTCGACCTGCTGGGCTCCAGAGATCCTTCCGCCTCAGCCTTTCAAGTAGCTGGAACTACAGGTACACGCTACTATGCCCAGCTAATTTTTTGATTTATTGTAGAGATGAGGTCTTACCAAGTCGCCCAGGTGGGTCTTGAACGCACGGGCTCAGGCAATCCACTCACCTCAGCCTCCCAAGGCGCAGGATTACAGGCTGAGCCATCGAGCCCAGCTGGGAAGGGGTTTTTACTGCAAGAGATGTGTCAGACGCAATCCACAGGCACCTTTAGCAAAAAGGTGATCTTATTATCATTTCTATGGCTTCAGCCAGCTAAGGGTGATCTTTGACCTTCCGCCTTGGACAAGGAACTTGAAAGTTTCTTAGAGATTATTATGCTAAACCATTAATTGAAAAGTTGGGACCAGTTAAATTTCCCTCCATGGCCGGCTCAGTGGCGCAGCCTGTAATCCCAGCACTTTGGAAAGTTGAGATGAGAGGATTGCCTGAGCCCGTGGCTTCGAGACCAGAACTCCAGTTTGGGCGACAGAGTGAGACTACAACTCAAAAAAAAAAAAAAAAAAGTTTAACGCTATGCGATTGACCAGGGAGAACTGCTTAATTTCTCCTTCCTTCTGGTTAAGCAGGCTTAATGCTCAGGCAATACATTCAGCCATGTAGTGATCTCGATATATTAAGGAAAATGTAGTCATAAATGCTAATTCTAGCTAATTGAGTACCCACCATAAGAACCTATCTGGCCCTTATAACTGATCTAGCAAAAATCCTGTGACCAAAGTAGAATTTTTCCACAGTTAGAGGTAAAATTGCCAGTTCAGTTGTGATGCCTTTTAAGTTTAAGTGCCTAGTGGAGCAGTTCTCGCAGTAACCCAGTGCTCCCACAGGGCAGCCAATTGGCTGCTATAAGTTGGCCACTGTAATTTGCGAGTATAACCGAGCCAGTGAGGAAGTGTATAGTTTGATTAAACTTTAGGAGAGAGTATACTCCTAGGGAGTCAGTGCCATTGGTTCTTTTTTTTTTTTTTTTGAGTTGGAGTCTCACTCCGTCGCTCAGACTGGAGTGCAGTGGCACACTCACCATCACCCTGGCGTCAACCTGCTGGGCTCTGGTGATCCTTCCGCTTCATTCTCCCACGTAGACAGAACTACAGGCACACACTACCACAACCAGCTCATTTTTTATTTAGTGTAGAGGCAAGATCTGACCAAGTTGCCTGGGCTGGTCTCAAACCCATGGGCTCAGGCAATCCACTTGCCTTGGCCTCCCAAAATGCTGGGATTACAGGCTGAAACATGGAGCTGGTTCTTGTTGGGAATTGGTCCTCTGCTACTGTTGGGGTATGAATGCCTGACACCGTGGCACCCATAGAGGTAATCAACAACAATTTTTCACGTTTAGCATAGGTGCTAATTTTAAAAATACCAAGGATTTTTGGAGAATCTGGTTGGGCCCAGGTACCAGGTGGGAAGGTAGAGTACAAATTCACCCTTACATCTTGGAATGCTGCCACATTGGAGGGCTGATAGTGACAGCAAGGGTCCAGGGAATAGAGGGTCCTCTAGGAGATATGGGGTAGGAGTATTATTACCATGGTGCAGAGTAAAGGAATCAAAAATTAATCTCTCATCAGCAAGCTGAAGTGTTTGACCTAGAGTTATCGTAACTATGATGAATAAGACACCTGTGGAACTTATGCTGGACAAGGGTGTTCACCCTTATTCTCAGTTTGATTACTCCATGGTCCATTGGGAGGGGGAAATGTTCCCAACTGCGCAGTCTATCTGCAACTTCTTGTGCTATGAGAAATCTGGAGATAGAGACATTAAAGACAATGGGGGTTTAGAAGTTGTTAGTGAAGGTGAGAGGATTGTCTGAGCTCGTGGGTTCAAGACCAGCCTGGGCAACTTGGTGAGATCTTGTCTCTACAATAAATCAAAAAATTAGCTGGATGTGGTGGCACATGCCTGTAGTTTCAGCTACGTGTAAGGGTAAGGTAGAAAGATCATCTGAGCCCAGCAGGTTGAGTCTATGGTGGCTGTGAACGTGCCACTGCACTCCAGCCTGGGAGACAAAGTGAGATTCCAACTCAAAAAAAAAAGAGGCCAGGTACAGTGGCTCACACCTATAATCCCAGCACTTTGGGAGACAGAGGTGAGAGGACTCCCTGGACACTCAGGTTCAAGACCAGCCTGGGTGCCGGAGTCCAGCTCCCGCAGAGTCCAGAGATTCCCAAAGGTGGAAATGGTGTCAGTGATTGTGAGAAAGAGAGAAAGAGAAAGAAAGAAAGAAGCTGTACCCCTGTCTAGTGCAGAAGCCATTTATTGGGAATTACAACAGGTCTTTTATCCCCAAATTTTGCACAGTCAGTCTCACATGTCTTTCACATGAACACAAAGCCAGGTGCGTGAGGGGCATCCCCCACCCACCAGATGTTCTTTCAGGTATGAGGAAGAAAATCCCATAACAGACTTTAACCTTAATCCGTGACTGACCTATCCTATAAAACTTTTTTATTCTATGCTGATTTATACTAATACCAAATTGAATGATTCTATAGAAACTTAAATACTTACTTTACAACCTAAAGCGACCCATCCCAGAATGTTCAGAATGTGGCCCAGTCCAAAGTTCACAGTGGGCTACCTGCATTCTTTCAACAAAATGGCTGTCTAAACTTATATTTCTAAAACTATATTCTACAATTTACACCTTACTCAACTTCAATAAATCCTAAAATCACGACCCAGAAGCTTGTGACCAATACTAAGTCTCTTTAGATGTGACCTGAGTTTGAACTGTAAGTTGTGTGAAAGCCAAAACTGCAGTTTGTGGAAGAATGGGAGCAATGAGCTTCTAAAGTTAGCTTGTGTTTGTCCCAGTCTCAGAGTTTTTATGTTTTGAGCTTACAGGAGCTTAGTCTGGTTATAGTGCTAAGTAGAAAGGAGGAGAAAATGGGGTCAAGAGCTCCCGAACGCATCCTAGTGGTCTCTGGGTCAACGGCCCTTCCTGATCCCTAATGCTCAGTGGGCCTCCGTGGCCGCTTCCCAACACCTGGGCAACTTGGTGAGACCCCACTGTTATGACCAGAGTATAAGAAATAAATTGCCAACACAGAACTTCAGATTCTAAAGATTTCTTTAATCAGACATGGCGACCAAGAGAGGCAAGAGCCATTGAAAACTCTCGGCCCCCAGCAAAGCAAGCAGAGGGTTTTTAAATACATTGCAGCTTGAAAAAAACACAGTTTCTGCTATTATGATAGCTAAAGGTTACATACCAGAAAGGAACAGAAAACTAGGGAAGGGGTTTGTAGTTTTTCTGTTTACTTAGCTGGCCATTGGCCAGGTACTTTCTTGCAAAATTAATTTTGAAACTGGATTTTGTAACAAGATGTAAGTGAGGTTGGGAATTTAAAAAAAAAAAGCTCTTAATTACAGTTCAGGGGTCAAGAACAGTTGTGGTTACATATGGCAGGGAGTCATGTCAAGTGGGTAACTACGAGTACTTAAAATGAAGATTTTAGCAGAATGGAGTTACTTATGCCTAACAAACTTCTATTTATATATTTAAAAACAGGTCATTTTTCAGTCATTTTATTCCTTCCTTTTACTTGTGCATGAGTTAAATTGTTGACTCATCAGTTATTGACAAAGGACTATAGTGGGTCCTGACATACATAAGCTTTACAGAATTAATGTATTGCTGAACAAAACAGATAATCCAATTAAGTACACAGGGTCCTATTAAACATAGAGTGGAACCAAGATTTATTATTATCTAGGTTTTTTTGTCTATGCTTTCTTTGACTTTACAGAGGGTATCTTTGATAATGCCTGATTTATTGGCATAAAAACAACAGGTCTCCCTGAGAGCAGCACAAAGTCCTCCTTGGGATAAAAAGATCAGGTCTAAGCTTCAGTGATTCTGGAGGACAACTTCTGCAAGGGAATCTACTTGGTCATGGAGCTGGTCTATGGCGTACTGCATATATTTTAGGTCCAAGCTGATATCTCATGCTAGATTGGCCCACCCTATTTCTCTGTGAACTAAAGCTGCGGTGCTGAGTGCTGCAGTTCCAACTATGCTTAACCCAATTAAGGTTGGCACAAGGAACGGGACAGCTCATTTTTGGTGAGGCAATGGGAGACCAGGGGGATTTAATAGCAGGGATCCTTCGGGACCACTATAGACATATACTTGAGGTAACACTTGAACAGTTACACATAGGGTTGGCTTATTAGCTACCATTTCGGTGGTTACACAGGTTGTTAGGCCTGTATGACAAGCAAGCCAAGTGTCAGCTGGAGCCATATAGGTTGTAGAGTCAGACATAGATATTATAAGAGACGAGTTACAGATCTCAGCAAATGGAGAGGCTGTTAAATTGAAATTTACAGTTTGCAAACAGGAGGCCTTTCCAGTTACATCCCTGAGGGTGCCATGAATTATTTTCTGAGAATTTTTACATGTAGTTTTTTCATGTTCCTGGTGGCATGGGATGATTGAGGTCTCGATTCCTAGGCCTACATAGTAAGAGGGTTTGGCCTTTAGACATAACCAACAATCTGGTGGGGTGATATTAAGCAGAGGTGTAGGTGGGTTAACATAGGAAAAAGGCTGAGTGGTTGACTTTTGGGGGCTTCTTTAGGGGATGGTAAACCTTTGGATGCTAATGGAGGTTTGGGTAGCTGATGGTAGCTAAATAAGGGGTCGTTAGGTCTGGTTAATTGTCCAATTCTGGATGGCCCTTTTTGGGTTTGGTGGAGAATCATTTATCATTGGATGTGAAAAGAACTCCTGAGTCATATTCATTTAAATAAATTTGTATGCCCCAGGTGAATCCCATATCCCAGGAAAGGAGGGAGGGATTGTTGATTTTTATATAAATTGGGGAATAGCTGGGATGGTTTCCTCGGGGATCCCACCATGTAACAACAGTGGATGTGTCATTTGGTCCTTTGGGATAAGAAGCGATAGTAACACATTCCCATCCTGGACAGAAGAATTGACTTGCCTGATTACAAAGACTGTTAGTGGGCTGTCCTGGACATATATAGAATCTATGTCTCTTAGATCCATATAAAGAGAGCAACCCTTTCCTTTCAAGGGGGCCCCTGGTTCACAATATTTTTTGGTTGGGATATTATTAGCTCTGCTTCCCCTTTGGCCTGACAAATCTAATAAGTCTTGAATAAGACTGAGTTGAGGGGCTGGCCAGTGGACCATTCTTTAGTATCTAATGTGGTTCCTCCCTGTGTAAGGGTAAAGGAGTACTAGGTGGGATGTTGAGCCCCACCCTTGAGTGCGTAGGTCAAGGAATACCAGAACAAAAACAAAAGAGTCTTAGCTTGTGGTGGCCAGTTCCGGTCCATCTCTGGTCAGTGTAGGATGCTGAACTCGGAGAGTGATTTTGAGAGGGCTGTTAGGGTCTTTCTGTACAGTTCAAATATCCGAGGGTGAAGTGTAATCATCGAGGTCGTCGAACCCGGTCCTCTTGACTCACGAGTAATGAATCCAGGCCAGTATTCCATCAACTTTGAGTGCCATCAGGGTGGTGAGGATGACAATGTAGGGCCTCTTCCAGGCTGGGGCTAGTCCTTCTTTCTGGAACCTTTCGACATAGACCAGTTGTTCAGGCTGAAATGAATGACATGGTGTAGACAATGGGGTTGGCAGAACGGCACAGATGTTGGAGTGGACAGCAGCCTGGACCTGTTGGAGGGACTGAAGATACTTGAATAGAGATTGATTAGTAATTTCTTCAAGTATGGGATCCTGTAACCAGGGCAATAAGGGAGGAGGTTTACCAAATGTGATTTCAAATGGAGTAAATCCAGCCTTGTAGGGGGTGCACCAGGTCGGAAGGAGGGCCAGAGGCAAAAGATTTCACCATTTTTCACTGGTCTCTATCATTAATTTAGTCCAAGTAGATTTTAAAATTCAGTTCACGTGTTTGACCTGTCCAGAGCTCTGCGGTCGGTAAACACAATGCAATTTCCAGTTAATGTTTAGTGCCTTACTAACCAGCTGTATTATGGACGAGGTGAAAGGGGGACCATTGTCAGAGCCAACAGAGAGGGGTAGCCCAAATCTAGGAATTCTTTCTTTCTTTTTTTTTTTGAGTTGGAGTCTCACTCTGTCACCCAGACTGGAGTGCAGTGGCCACCACACTCCCAGCCACCGCAGCCTCGACCTGCTGGGTTCTGGTGATCCTTCTGCCTCAGCCTTCCGAGTGGCTGGAATTACAGGTGTGCGCTACCACACCCGGCTAATTTTTTTATTTATTGTAGAGATGAGGTCTCGCTGCCCAGGCAGGTCTCAAACCCGCAGGCTCAGGCAATCCACTCACCTCAGCCTCCCAAAGGTGCAGGATTACAGGCTGAGCCACCGAGCCCAGCTAGGAATTATTTCATTTAATAAAAGTGTTGCAACCGTCAGAGCAGTTTCATTTCTAGTGTCAAAGGCCTCCATCCATCCAGGAAAAGTATCTATAAACACTAGTAGATAATTGTATCCTGCATGGGTAGGTTTTATGTCAGTAAGATCTACCTCCCATTTCTCTCCAGGGCTAATTCTCAGGCCCTGGTGCTAATAGTAGGCTTTGGTCCTTGCTTTGCATTGACTGGATGCAGCCTAGGCATCTTGCAGCTGTCTTCTCGGTCATATATTTTAAGTTATTGATAAAACCGGTTTATCAGTTCAGTCAATTTGGTGCTACCCAAATGGGTGACAGAATATAATTGTTTTACCAGAGTGTATCCAAGAGTCTCAGGTAGGATAATTTTAGAGTCCTTGACCCACCATCCAGTGGGGTCTTTGTGAGTTCCCATCCACTCCACTTGTTTGTCTTCTTCTTGAAGACAAACTGTGGGAGAGAAGAGACTGAAGAAGTCTTAGTCAGCAGAATAGTTAGAGGTTCAAATGGGAGCTCTGCAGCTTCCCAAGCTGCCTGGTCTGCCAGGCAGTTCCCAATTGCCTCTGGAGTATCTGACTTCTGGTGTCCCCTGCAATGCATGACAGTAACCTCTTTGGGGAGCCATATAGCCTCAAAAAGGGCTAAAATCTCCTCTTTGTTTTTGGTAGTCTTGCCTGCAGCCGTCAGGAGTCCCTGTTCCTTGTAAATCATAGTATGGACATGGAGATTAGAAAAGGCATATGGGGGGGAGGGGGATGGGATGAACAGTAGCAAATATCTGTCTGGGGATGGGAAAACACCTCTTATCAACAGGGTGCCTGAATGAAATGTAATTGTACACCTAACCCTTAACTGTACCCCACAAAACCATAATAAAAAATACTGATTGATTAAAAAAAAAAAAAAAGAAAAGGCATATCAGCTGTCAGTAAAGATGTTTATCCATTTCCCGGCTCCCCTGCACAGGGCCTGAGTCAAAACAATTAACTCAGCCTTTTGAGCTGACATGCCGTTGGGTAAAGACTGACCAAATTACATCATGAGCCATGGTCACCACAGCACCAGCCTTGCAAACTCCTTTTATCAAGTGGCTGCCATCCATGAATAGGACAGCATCAGCCTGACTCAAGGGGGTATCCCGAAGGTCAGGGCAGCTAGCCTGAGAGATGTCCATCACGTCTTCACAGTCATGCACTGGCTCTTCTGGGTTATTATCGGGGAGCAGGGTAGCCAGATTAAGGCATTGTATAGGAGAGAAAGTTAGTCTAGGTTGGTCAAGGAGGAGGCTTTAGTACTGAGTGATGTGGGTATTTGACATCCAGCGGCCAGAGGCTCCCCTGAGTAGAGTCCCAACAGCATGGGGAACAGTTAAAACCAGATTGTGTCCACAAGTTAGTTTATCTGCCTCCTTGACTAGTATGGCCGTGGCTGCAATGGCCCGGAGACAAGAAGGTCAGCCAGAGGCCACTGAGTCCGGTCTTTTTGACAAATAGGCCACTGGCCGCCTCCATAGTCCGAGAGTCTGGGTAAGGACCCCTTTTGCAATTCCGTGTTGTTCATGAACAGATGGAAAGGCTTGGTAACATCTGAAAGGGCCAGAGCCAGGGCTTGGTTTAAAGCCATTTTTGATTGCTGGAACGCCTATTCCTCAGTAGTAGTCCAGTTCAGGGGCTGATCTCCTGCTGTGGCCATATATAGGGGCTTGGTAAATTTCAGCAAATCCTGGAATCCACAGTCGACAATACCCTGCCACCCTTAGGAATTCGCGTACCTGTTTCCTGGTGGTTGGCAGGAATTTGGAGAAAGGTTTTTTGGGGGGCCGAAGTCAGGGCTCATTTACCTTCTTTTAGCTGCTATCCCAGGTATAAAACTTCAGTTGAGCAGAGCTGTGCGTGCTTTGCCAACACACAGTAGCCCATATCTTGAAGGAACTGTAAGAGAGCCTTAGTACCTTGTAAACAAGTGTCCAGGCCTGCACCTGCAAGTAAGAGGTCATCTACATACTAGAGCGGAGTACATTCAGAATGTTGGACACAGAACCCTGACAAATCTGTTGCAAGGCCTCCCCAAAAAGAGTTGGAGAGTTCTTGTATCCTTGTGGCAACTGAGTCCAAGTTAGTTGACTAGTATCTACTGAGTCCGGATCTGTCCATTCAAAGGGAATAATGAGCTGACTGACTGGAGAGAGGGGAATTGAAAAGAAAGCATTTTTCAAGTCCAGTACAGTGTTGAGGAGGAAGCAGGTTGAGCAATGTGCACAGGTTGGGAACTGTAGGATGGATTGTTTCAACCCACTTATTAATCTCCCTTAAATCCTGGACAGGCTGGTAATCAGATGTTCCTGGCTTTTCAATTGGCAGGAACAGAATGTTCCAGGCAGATTGCCAGGGCATCAGGATACCAACAGCTCAAGGTCTTTGAATACAGGGAGTAATTCCCTTCCAAACCTGCAAACTCATGGGATATTGATGAATACGAACAGGAGTGGCAGATGCTAGCAGACTTACCATGACAGGAAGGTGGTGTTTTGCTAGTCCCAGTGGGTTGGTCTCTGCCCATACTGAAGGAAATTCCTGTTGTAACTGCAGAAGTAGGCTTGTTGGGGATTCTAAAGAAGCTAGAAGATATTCCTCAGAGAGTGGAACAGTCAATAACATTTGATAGGCAGTGTCAGTGGGAACATACATCTTAGTCTCATCAGGTAACCTTCAATTTTCGAAGCAGATCTTGGCCCATAAGGGGGAATAGGCAGTCAGGGGCAATCGAGAACAAGTGTGTGACTCGTCTTTGGCCTAAGTCGACCATCTGGTTGGAGGTGAACTTGCAATTAGTGACTGTGCCTGTTGCTCCTTGAACAAATATCTGTTTATCAGACATAAGCCCTAATGGTGATTTTAGGACCAACATTTCCACCCCAGTGTCCACTAGGAGTTGGATGGGGTGGCCCCCTATAGCAGTGGTTACCATGGACTCTTGGGGGCCTAAGGAAAGAGAGTCCTGGCCTCCTCAGTCCAATTCATTTCCAATTTCCCCAGTGGAGGGCAGAACCAGAACTGACTTAGGCTTTTCTGTCTTTGGGTGACAAGGGCAATCCTTTACCCAGTGACCTAATTTCTTACAATAGACACATTGGTTCTTGGACAGTTGAATTTGTCCAGTCTCCTTTTGCCCTTTTTTGGTTTCCCCTTTCTGTTTATAGGATGGCTTCAAACTGGGCTGCGAAGCCTGGATAACAAGAAGTAATATTTTTGTTTGCCACTTTGCTGCTTTATCTAGTTTCTGATCTGCCTGTTTCTGTTTCTCAGCATCACGGTTGTTGAAAACTTTTTGGGCTACTTCAAGTAACTGAGAAATATTAATCCCTGCAAAACCCTCAAGCTTTTGTAGCTTTTTCCTGTTGTCTGGGACTGCCTGTGCCACAAAAGCCAAATTGACAACCCAAGCATTCTCAGATGCCGAGGGGTTGAAGGGAGTGTAAGTATGGAATGCCTCCTGGAGGTGCTCAAGAAACATCCCTGGTGACTCCTCAGGGTCCTGAATGATCTCAGTAGTCTTAGAAGATTGATAGATTTTCAGGCTGCTCCCCTCAAGCCAGCTAATAGAGTCTGGTGATAAGTTTCTAAGTCCTGGGATCCTGCCAAAGTATTGGGGTCCCAGTCAGGATGCTGGAAGAACTTCTTTTAGCCTTTCTTGGTTTTCCTCCTTCATACCAGTGGCTGAAACCAGGAAAGATTTCCTAGCTTCAGTCCAGATCTGTTCTCATTCCTCAGGAGAAAAAGAGTCAGAAGGAGTTGTTGACAATTGTCCCATGTGGGGCGATGAGTCCACATAACTGATTCCATTAAGGAAATCAGTACCTGTGGCCTATCTGAGAATGCCAGATTTTGATGTTTCCAAGTGTATAGGTCTGAGGTAGAGAAAGGAATATAAACCAAGAAAGCCTGCTTGGCTCGGTCCAATAGAACCTTCCAAAGAGGTAAGAGTGAAGCTGGATCGGTCCAAGACTGGAGGTGAGTAGCCAAAGGCATTGACCCAGCAAAAGGGAAAGGGAAAAGGATGTGACAGGAGGCAGGCTCCAGTCCCCAGCAGCCTTCTCAGGGCCAGCTGCAACTGCCACTGCAGCCAGTGACGCGGATATGAGGGTTGGAGAGGACTGGGGACAATATGGTGGTGGGTTACAAGTGAGGGCGATTAACTCCTCAAGGGGTTCCTCCATTGATGGAGGGAAAACAGGGAATAACCCTTCTGACAGGGGCACTGAGGCAATTGGGGGATGAGGCGCTGTCTTTTCAGACAGCAGGGATCTTGACTTTGAAGACTGTGGAGGATTTCCTTTGTCAGGCCCCTTTAAACTGCATCCTCAAAGTACCTGATGGCTCCAAAGTGCCTGATGGCCTTATTCGCTTTTCCAAAACACAAGTTCCAACCCAAGGTGAGGAATTCTTGACTAGAGATAACCAATGGTCAATATAGGGAACTTATCTGGGTAGGGAGGGCCCCCATACCAGCAACAATTCTCCAGATGGCTCAGGTAACAGTACATCTAGAGATCCAGCAGAGGGCCATTAACAGCAAACATAGGCCAACCAATTTCACAGAGGGTACAGTGCCTGCTCTTTGAAAGATGGACCCCATATTCCTCCACAAATGCAACAGAGAAATTATTTAACATGCATTCAGGGGACTGGAGGACTTGGAAGACTTCTGCCCCATGTTGTCCAAAAAACACCCATAAATTACAAAAGACACCTGATAAGAATAAAACTGGTAACAATAAGGAGGTATGCAGCAGCCAGCAAAACTCTGGCTATGAATGACCAGTCCATAGGCACAGCTCTGGCAAGCAATATAGTAAAGAGAACAGCAATTGAACTAAGAAAGGAAAGGGACCAAGGATGACAAATATCCAGAAACCACTATATAAACATACAAAAATCAAGACGGTATTCAAACAGGAATATTAAACCGAAACACTGTTCTACCAACGTCTTGGGTCAACGAACAGAGACTAAAGAGTGGCCTCATCAGGCTCCGACTTCCCCAACAGAATTATGGCCATAAACAGAAGGAATGGATTAAACAGACTCTTACCTCTCTGGAGAGTGCAGACAGACTCAACCTCTTCCAAGGTGATCAGCAGTTGTTCCAGTTCCCTGGAACAGTTGAGTGGTTATGGGACCCTGATTAATCTCCCTTTAATGCCTCGCTGGACTGGGGGAGAGGTGGAGTAATGCCACCACCCATAGTTGGCAATTATAAAATATAATTCTTGCTGGGGCCATCAAATGTTATGACTGAAATGTGAGAAATAAGTTGCCAACACACAGAACTTCAGATTCTGAAGATTTCTTTAATCAGACATGGCAACCAAGAGAGTCAAGAACCATTGAAAACTCTCGGCCTCCAACAAAGCAAGCAGAGGGTTTTTATATGCAATGCAGCTTGAAAAAAACATATAGCTTCTGCTATTAAGATGGCTAAAGGTTACATACCAGAAAGGAATAGAAAACTAGGGAAGGGGTTTGTGGTTTTTCTGTTTACTAGCTGACCATTGGCCAGGTACTTTCTTGTGAAATTAATTTTGAAACAGGGTTTTGTAACAAGATGTGAGTGAGGTTGGAGATTACAAAGAAAAAGCTCTTAATTACAGTTCAGAGGTCAAGAACAGTTGTGGTTACATACGGGGGAGTTCTGTCAAGCGGGTAATTGCGAGTACTTAAAATGAAGATTTTAGCAGAGTGGAGTTAATTATGCCTAATAAATTTATATTTATGTATTTAAAAACTGGTCATTTTTCAGTCATTTCATCATCTCTATGATAAATTAAAAAATTAACCGGGCATGTTGGTGCGAGTCTGTAGTCCCAGCTACTTGGAAGGCTGAGGCAGAAGGATCGCCTGAGCCCAGCAGGTTGAGGCTGCGGTGTCTGGGAGTGTGCCACTGCCCTCCAGCCTGAGTGACAGAGTGAGACTCTAACTCAAAAAAAAAGAAGAAGAAGAAGTTGACTGGGCTCAGTAGCTCAGCCTGTAATCCCAGCACTTTGGGAGGCTGAGGGGAGTGGCATGCCTGAGCCTCCTGGGTTTGAGAGCAGCCTGGGCAACTTGGCGAGACCTCATCTCTACAATCAATCAATCAATCAATCAATAAGCAAGCAAGCCAGGTGTAGTAGCACACACCTATAGTTCTGGCTACATAGAAGGCTGAGGCAGAAGTATCACTGGAGTCCAGAACATCGATGCTGGGGTGGCCATGAGTGTGCCACTGCATTCCAGACTGGGTGACAGAGTAGGACTCCAACTCAAAAAAAAAAGTTGTTAGTTAAAGTTCCAACAAGCCTCTCTAAATTGTATATTATTATTTCTTGACCAGGTTAGGGAAACTAGAAATGGAGGGTGTCTTTTATATTGAATGTAAGTTTGTTTGTTTGTTTTTTGAGTTGGAGTCTCACTCTGTCGCCCAGACTGGAGTGCAGTGGCCGCTCCTGGCCACCGCAGCCTCGACCTGTTATGCTCCGGCAATCCTTCCACCTCAGCCTTCCAAATAGCCAGAATTACAGGCATGCGCTACCATGCCCGGCTGATTTTTTTATTTATTGTAGAGATGAGGTCTCGCTGCCCAGGCGGGTCTCGAACCCGTGGGCTCAAGCAATCCACTCACCTCAGCCTCCCAAAGGCGCGGGATTACAGGCTGAGCCACCGAGTCCGGCAATATTGAATGTAAGTTATTTTATGACTATAAATTAAATGACTGACTAGACAGCCTTTGCTATGTTGGGTCCCACAGGCATTTCATAAGGTTACCTTTTTGAAGAGGTATTTGAGAACACTTAGTGGTTCTGAATGTATGATTCAGCTGGCTGATCTATAGTAGGAACATTGGAGGCTGGAGGAGGTGCTGGCCTGAGTCTGGACAGATGTATCCAGAAGGGGAACTCCAGGAGTTTTGCTGCAGTGGGAGTAGTTAAAATGACTTTAAAGAGTTCCCTCCATGGTAGTTGAAGGGGCTTAGTTTGCCCTGGCAAGTCTCTGAGAAATACCCAGTCTCTGGGTTGTAGATGTGACTTGGGACCTGGGACCTTGCTGGGGGCCGAATTTGTTGACCTGCATAGTCTTTTAAAAGCTTTCTGGCTAATTCCAGGACTGGGAGATAATTTCCCAAGGGAGGAAACTCTGTAGGCAGCCCAGGATGTAAGATAAGGAGTCCCCCATACATTAATGCAAAGGGGCTGAGGAACAAAGGCCTTTAGGAATGGCCCTGAAATTTAGAAGAGCCATAGGCAGTAATTGTGGCCATCCAAGTTTAAATTCCAAAGACAATTTGGTTAGGTACTGTTAGAGGGTAGAATGAGCTTTCTCTACTTTTCCTGATGATTGGGGATGATAAGCTGTGTGGAGATTAAAGTCTATGCCTAAGACCTCTGGAATTTGCTATGTTATCTGAGAAGTAAAGGCAATGCCATGATCACCCTGCAGGGAGACAGGAAAGTCAAACAGGGAAATTATCTCATTGACTAGGGCCTGTGAAACCTTACATGCCCTCTCTGAGGTCGTGGGGAAAGCCTCCAGCCAGCCTGAAAAGGTATCAATAAAGGTTAACAGACATTTATACTTCTTATATTTTGGTATGTGAGTGAAGTCAATTCGCCAATCCTGTCCTGGTATATGTCCCTGTAGCTGGTGGATGGGGAGCAAAGACAGAGGTCTAGGATGTCCTTGAGGACTGACCATTCTACAAACAGGCATTCCTTAATAACAGATTTTAATTTAGAGCTTAGGTTGGAACATATAACTTAAGAACTTAAAAGTTTATATAAAGGTTTCCATCCTATGTGCTGCTTATTAGGAAGGTGCGTCAGAATTTCTTTTTTTTTTGAGTTGGAGTCTCACTCTGTCGTCCAGACTGGAGTGCCGGGGCCGCTCCCGGCCACCGCAGCCTCGACCTGCTGGGCTCCGGCGATCCTTCCGCCTCAGCCTTCCAAGTAGCCGGAATCACAGGCATGCGCTACACACCTGGCTGATTTTTTTTTATTTATTGTAGAGATGAGGTCTCACAGCCCAGGCGGGTCTCGAACCCGCGGGCTCAGGCAATCCACTCACCTCAGCCTCCCAAAGGCGCGGGATTACAGGCTGAGCCACAGAGCCCGGCAGGAATTCTTTTCATGGTAATTATAACCTCGGGGCTTGATGTTTCATCCCTTGTTTGTTAGCTATTCACCTAAAATAGTAATATTACTACTATGCATTTAAGAATCAGCCAGTTTTTTTCAGATACAGGTATTATTGGGTGCTATGTGTATATATCAACTTAAGGGTTAGATAGGATGGGAGAACTTAGCATCTTTGTCTCATGTTGTGTTCGAACAGACTTAGGCCGGACTTGTAAAATTTACAAAATCACTCACATTGTAAGCTTAGGCACACCTCTGTGTGTGAAAACAAGAAGAATACTTATATAGTGAAGGGTTAAGGAAGAGTCTATGTGCAGTTATTCAAAATGCCTTTGAACCTATGTAACATGGGACAGTGTTCTTAGATGTACTGTTTTGTTTGTAATACTTAAAAAGCCGGGCTCGGTGGCTCAGCCTGTAATCCTGCACCTTTGGGGGGCTGAGGTGAGTGGATTGCCTGAGCCTGCGGGTTCGAGACCCACCTGGGCAGCGAGAACTCATTTCTACAATAATCAAAAAATCAGCTGGGCATGGTAGCGCATGCCTGTAATTCCGGCTACCTTGGAAGGCTTGGACCGAAGGATCGCCGGAGCCCAGCGGGTCGACACTGCGGTGGCCGGGAGCTGCCGCTGCACTCCAGTCTGGGCGACAGAGTGAGACTCCAACTAAAAAAAAAAAAGGAAAAAAAATTTCAATGCAAGAAGAATGAAAATTGTAATATTGTCCTTTTCGTTGCATTTTCTAGGCAATTAAATTGGAATATTCCAGATTGGTTAAGTTGGCCCAAGAAGATACCCCACCAGAAACAGATTATCGTTTACATCATGTAGTGGTCTACTTTATCCAGAACCAGGCACCAAAAAAAATCATTGAGAAAACATTGCTGGAACAATTTGGAGATAGAAATTTAAGTTTTGATGAAAGGTATTCTGAAATGTAAAATTCATGTGCTCAAATTTTTCTTGTTTTTATGTAGATTCTCTGTGTAATTTTTGAATGCTTGTTTTTTATGTGCATGAACATACATTTTAATAAATACAGCACAAAATTGGACCTTACTTAATTTGAACAATTGCTAAGTAATTTCTCTGGAGTCTATAATCATGGTCTTTTGAATTTTGAATTGAAAATAATTTATATTAGCTTAAAATATTTTAATTATGAAACAAGTAATCACTGCCCTTATGGAACTTAATATTTTAGAGAAAAAAAACAGATTTCTCAATGTTTGTACTATAGATAGTTTAGAGAATTCTTTGTTTTAATGCCATTCTGTGATTATAGGCTGTTTAACAATATTCCTGACCTTTAGTTGTTAGATGCTGGTAGCAACTCCCAAGTTATGACAGTCTAAAACATCTCCAAGTACTGCCAGCAAAGTCACTAAATCACTGGAAAAAAGTTTTTAGTCATGCAAATGAAATATTTAAACATTCTTTGACAGAAAGAGATGACTTAGAATGGTTAAATTAATTTGGTTCACCCAAAAATATTTTTTCTTAAAGTCCTATAAAATTACTAATTTTAAAAAAAGTTAAAATTTAATCTAATTAAATGAATGACATTTACAAAATTTTAGGGCTCAGGTAAAGGTCCAAGATAATAAAAGTTATTTTAGTTTACAAAAACATTTATGATCCCTTGGAGTTCATTATAATTACATTCTAATTCTGAAATAAATGATTATTCTTTTATGAATGCCTCAAAATACTGAATTAAAAGTGGCTAGCAGAGGAGAATATGAGGGGAAGCAAAGCATCTAGGATCAGTTCCTGCCTTATCATAAGGTCTGCTGTGAAATTTAGGATTAAGTGAAATAATACAAGTAAATTGTTTTGAACAGTATCTGGTAGACAGTTGAATGTCCAGTGAATGTTGGTTGTTATTACTATTCCTGTTAGTAGCAGTATAGACGTCACTTATTTTCTTACATAGAACTGCAAGGAGTTGAGAAATATGACTGAATATTACTATCATTATCTGGACTTACTGTGTTCCAATGGATATATGCTGTTGAATTTGGAGAAGATTTAATTGAGTAATCACATTTTAAAATCTCTCGCAAATGCAAGTAATCAGTATGTTTTGATAACCTGAAAGACAAAATTAGTTGCATGTAATTAACTAAATATATTGTTTTGGATTTCTTTTTTAATAATTCTGATCATAAAATCCGTTGGAATGCTTCCATTTTTACCTGAAATGATACATACATTTTGAATTCTTTCTTTTTTACTATTTAAGAATAATGCCATTTGGGGGGAAAAGAAGATGTCATATCTCTTGAGTGTGCTTAAAAGATGCAGATTATTTGTAAAAGTTCATTTTCCCCCCTTGCAAGCTGTATTAATAGAATATAATTTAAAAGCCATATGTGAATATAAGAAATCTTGGATTAGAGTTGTTGTGTGATCGTTTTGTAATTATCCGGCATTGGTCCAAAAAGCATTTTTCACTAAAGATTATTTGGGAGTTGTTTCCATAAATAAGTGCTGCTCGGTGGCAATGGATTTCATTTCTATATGTGTTTGGTAGTTTAGTTTTGTGAAACATACATTTTTCAGTTTTTGTGGATTTTGCTTTTAATTTAGAAATCTGTATATTTTTAAGGTGTCACAACATAATGAAAGTTGCTCAAGTCAAACTGGAAATGATAAAACCTGAAGAGGTAAACTCGGAGGAGTATAAGGTAATGTTCTTCTTGAGGGATTCTGTAGTTCCTTGATATTTTTTTTTTTTCATTTTGGCACAACTAAGGTCGAATTTATTATAGATAATAAGTAAAAAGTAAATCTATTAGTCAATGCTCAAGCTATTAGTATTTTTGCAAATAATTTTGGTGTTAACTTTGATGACATGTAAACTAAAAAGTTTAAAAGTGAAATAGGAAGATTTTTGTTTTTATTTTCATGTACAGTCCTCTTGTATTCTAATACTAGTTCTCAACTAAATATCAATTTTGATATTGTAATTACATAATAATAGTGAATATTTATCAAGAACCTGCTATATGCCAAGCTCCTTTACATGTATTAACTGATTTAATCTAGAGAGCAAGACTATGAGGTAGATGGTATTCTTATTTCCCGATTTATATGTGAGAATATATGGCAAAGAGAAGGCAGGTGACATGCCTAACGTTTTCATAGCTAGACATTTTCAATTTGACTGATAGAACCTACATTCTTTTTTTTTTTTTTTGAGTTGGAGTCTCACTCTGTCGCCCAGACTGGAGTTCAGTGGCCGCTCCCGGCCACCGCAGCCTCACCTGCTGGGCTCCAACGATCCTTCCGCCTCAGCCTTCCAAGTAGCCGGAATTACAGGCATGCGCTACCACTCCCGGCTGATTTTTTGATTTATTATAGAGATGGGGTCTCGCTGCCCAGGCGGGTCTCGAACCCATGGGCTCAGGCAATCCACTCACCTCAGCCTCCCAAAGGCGCGGGATTACAGGCTGAGCCACCGAGACCGGCTAGAATCTACATTCTTAACTGCGAGACTGCACTGAAAGCGGGCTGCATTTTTTTCTTTCAGTTTGCCTCATCAGCTACTTTTGAGAAAGTTAAGAGTACTCCATATAGTGTATATATGTATCTTCCATACATAGTTGCCATTATGAGACAGTGCTGTGTGTATGAGGGAGCAGACACATGGACACTTGTATACATGTCCGTGGGAGTTTTTTTGGGTGCATAAACTTATTTCTATATCAACTTTGGCTCTAAAATTAGTATTCTTTATTTTAATTGACAGATTCAAACACCTACTATTTCTGTTTCTTCAAGGTTTTTAGTTTAACCTTAAATGTTTTTTAAAATTTATGAATCTAGAAAATTTTAAGTTGCTTTTCTGGACTTTCCTGTTGTTTTCCTGATTAGTGTTTGGTCCCATTTACAAACTTAGTTACAATGCTTTAGATTCCCTTAAACAATTAGTGTCATTCACCACATTATCAGAGTAGAGGAAAGATCCAGAAAAATACTTATTATTGTTGAAAATTTTTAGCTGACCTGAAACTTTACTACCTTAATCTACTAAAGTGTGTATCGAAAAACAAAAATTAAAAAAAAAGCAAAACAACAAAACTTCAGCAAATATATAGAGTTATGAACATTGAAAGCTTTAGGTTTATGATCTGGAAAAAACAGGCAACAAAAACAAGTAAAAAGTAGAAGATTGGAAAAAGAAGTAGCAAAGTCACCATTTGCAGATTTTTTGACCTCGAAATTCAAATAATCTATAGATAAATTTATTAGAATCAATAGAACTTTGTATCATACAAATCTATGTCAAACATCAATTGTCAAACATCAATTTCTGTTTTCTAATACTAGTAACAAATAATTAGAAAATAACGTGTATAAAAATGATGCTGCTTACAATAGCATCAGAAACTATAGAGTATCTAGAAATAAATTTAACAAAAGATATGCATGACTACTCTGGGCAACACCATAAACTTACTGGGAGAATTAAAAAAGACCTAAATAAATGGACATGTTTGATGTCAAGTTGGAAAACTTGATATTATATAAATATGCTCCACTAAATGGTTTATAGATTCAGTGTAATTCTGTGAAAATTCTAGCAGGATGTTTTATGGATAAGCTGATGGAAAACTTTTATGAAATGCAAAGGTCCCAGACTACTAGATACCTTCTCGAAGATAGAAGGTAGAAAAGTTTACTAGAGATCAAAACATACTTTCTTAATCATTTTAACTTTATAATGATACTAGCATAATAATAGGTAAATTAAAACAGTAAAACAGAATTGAAAATCTTGGAACATATCCACCCCTTTTTGTACATATGATATATGCCAGAGATAGCAAGCAAGTCAGTGAACATGGAAGGACTTTCCAATCAGTGATTCTGGAAAATAAATAAAATTGGATCCCTTCTTCACTCCATATACAAAAATCCATTTTAATTGTGAAAGGCTCCTATATAAAGCTACGTAGAAGTCAACATACTTAGAAACTCAAAGAAATTCATTTACCCATGAGGGATACACGTTGGCCAGAGAATTTTGACCAGAATATATACGCTGCAGCCAGGGATAATCAGGGCAGGTTGTCTCATAACTATCAGGAGCAAGTCAGGTCATTTTTTAGCTAATAACAGCTCTAAATTTGCACCCGTCAAATTGATCTCTCTACTCTTGTCCCCAAAATTCATGTACATGGGACTTAATTTTTAATTTTGATTTGATTCTGCAACCCCTCCTTTAGTTTGCCTTAACTGATTGGATTCAGCGTATTTTTATTTAGAAACCTCATATTCTTTCTAACTGTAGAGCCATTATACCATAAAAGTATTTATTTATTTTTTTTCTCTTTGAGTTGGAGTCTCACTCTGTCGCCCAGACTGGAGTGCAGTGGCCACTCCCAGACCCTGCAGCCTTGGCCTGCTGGGCTCCCATGATCCTTCCTCCTCAGCCTTCCGAGTAGCTGGAATTACAGGCATACGCTACCACGCCTGGCTGATTTTTTGATTTATTGTAGAGGTGAAGGTCTCGCTGCCCAGGTGGGTCTCGAACCCGTGGGCTCAGGCAATCCACTCAACTCAGCTTCCAAAAGGCTTGGGATTACAGGCTGAGCCACCGAGCCCGACACCATACAAGTATTTAAATGACCTGTTTCTGCATGTCTCACGTCTTTGTCTCTTGCTAAGTTCAGGTGTTAGCAAACCTTGCCCCTCAGACCACATCCAGCTTTTACTACCTGTTATTGTCAAATAAAATTTATTTACTTGTTGTCTGTGACTGCTTTCACACTACAGTTGCAAGACTTGAGTAACTTGACAAAGCTTGCCAGGTTTAAAATATTTAATATCTGGCTCCTAAGAAAATGTCTGTCATCTCACAACTTTAAGGCTGTTCTAATGACAGCTTGGAATGGAAGTTTGAATACCTTCCTCAGAAAAGCTACCTTTGTACTTGCAGGCTAAATTTTGCCATTATTTGTTATTAAGATCTACTACGGGATGAAAATTAAGCCTTGAAAACTTAAAATTAAATTAAAATTTTAAAATTAAATAGTCACATTTAAAAAGAATATAGTTGGCAATAACTTTGTCTGTCTGTCTGTCTGTCTGTCTATCTGTCATTCTCCAAGTTGGATTCTCACTTTGTTACCTAGGCTGGAGTGTAGTGGCACGCTCACAGCCATCACAGCCTCAACCTTCTGGGCTCAGGTGATCCTTCCGCCTCAGCCTTCTAAGTACCTGGGACTACAGGGGTACACCACCACACCTGGCTAACTTTTTGATGTATTGTAGAGACGAGGTCTTGCCAATTTGCCCAGGCTGGTCTCGAACTCCTGTGTTCAGGCAATCCTCCTGCCTTGGCCTCCCAAAGTCCTGGGATTACAGGCATGAGCCACCATACCTGGTATATTTACATACTTCTTATTTTTATTTGCATATCATGATGTGTATTTGAAAGCTTTAACACCTTTATTATTAGCATTTTTTTAGCCTAATCCTTTACTGAGTTTTAGTTCTTTTCCTTGAGTTAATTTTTTAAAAATAAGTTAAGAAAATTCTTCTTTTGTTGTCTTTGAGGATTATAGAGCATCAGCTTAGAATTACTGAGGTTTGCCTATTATATGACCTATAATCATTTGACGGGGGGAATGGGCATTGATTGGTATATTGCACTTATCCTTTCAATGTTATCTCAGGTGAATAACCTCTTTAGCTACCACATCTAAAATCAAATTTACTACACATCTGGCAAAATGAAAAGGTTAAAGCTGTTCTATAACACTGTTCTTTTAGTTCTTAAAATTCTGTATTATGTGTTTAACTTAAATTCATATTCAAAAAAATAACTTTATTTAACTGCTATGTTAGTGTGATATGGGTACTATAATATTTTAATAATATGATTTTATACTGAAGAATTTTTGAGATAGAGAGATGACCTGATTGATTATCCTGCTCTTATATTTCTGTTATCTTCTAGTGAGGTCATTTTGTTTAATTCCTCATTAATGTGTAATAACTTTTATATTTATTGCCATATTAATGAATAGTCTTGTGTGTCAGAAAGGAAAGTCTTGATTTAGGTATAGTTTATCTTAATTTTGAACTTTGTTTCTATTAATTTAAAGGTTATCAGAACAGTGTTACTTTATGAACAGTTTAATTAAGATTTTAGAATCTTACTCTGAATGTTTTCAATATTTTCTCTAACCTACAGGAATGGCATCAGGATTATAGGAAATTCAGGGAAACAACTATGTATCTCATAATTGGGCTAGAAAATTTTCAGAGAGAAAGGTAAGGCAAAGTGGAAAAATATGCCTAAATGGAGACATCAGGAAAAGAAATACTAATGGAGACAGAAGTGTCTGAAGTCATTAATTATGCTACCCTCTCCTAGTTTAAAAGAAAAAATTCCCTGCTCCTTTTTTTTTTAACTTTTAAGACATAACTATTTCCTGGCTTCGGATGTTGCTTCAGACGTTGCTAAAAAGTTGCTTTTAGGCATTTCTTGCATCAGATATTTTTTATTATAATGTTTTAGATAATCAAAATTGAAGTGCAAGCTTAAAATGTTTTATAATTGTAGTTGACTTTGTTTTACAAAGATGAAATACTAATGTGTATATTTCTTTTTAATTTCTTAAGTTATATAGATTCCTTGCTCTTCCTCATCTGTGCTTATCAGAATAACAAAGAACTTTTGTCCAAAGGCTTATACAGAGGGCATGATGAAGAATTGATATCACATTATAGAAGAGAATGTTTACTGGTAAGTTGAATACATGCAGTATGTGTTTTATCACTTTTTTTGTTGATTGGACACATTTTTTAGAATGATATATAAATGATTGACTATAAACTCTGATGGGGTAAGAAGCTCAGTGATGTCTATAAACTGGGTCTATTTCCTTTAGATGGCAAAGCACACTTGATTTTTTATTCCTCCTTTCTTTATCAATCAGCCTTCTAAGTACCTGGGACTACAGGGGCTGTGATGGCTGTGAGTGCTATAGATGATCAATATTCTTAAACTGTAATGTTTGCTTATGTTCCTAAATTTAGATTTTTTTTCTTTTGGTGGGAGATGAAGGGCCATATAGATAATGAGGAAATATCATTATTATTACTGTAGAAAACAAAGAATAGATTTTTTTTGAGATTTATAAGTGGTAGTATATTTGATGTGAGTAATGTTAAAAGATTCATTGTGATATGATACCTTTTTTTGCCCCTAGTGATCAGTTTCTTTACCTCAAATATTTTTACTCTCTATATGCTGAAATGTTACTGTTGTTAAAACTTTTAGTGCCAGTTTACTTAACTCTAGATATCTGCAGTACTTTGTTGATGTTCTCTGAGTCAACTTATCTTTATGTATAAAACAGCAAATTCTATCTTTAGCCTTTTTTCTGATTAAATTTCATTGTCAGTTGGCTATTGATATCACTCTTCTATATTAGAAACCCTAAGTTATTTTTTTTCATGTTTTAAAAAATAGACAAAGATAACGAAAGAGGATATGTAGTTTGAACCTGTATGTTTAAATGTGCTTTAAAAACTTTAGGTAGGTCTACTGGTGAAATAGTTTTTTTTTTCAGTAGAAATATGCACTATACACTAATTTCAGCGTGTGACGGCTTTAATATTTTTTAATAGGAGTGTAAAAGGTTGTGTGATCTTACTATCTTTTTCTCTCAGCTGATTTTAATGCATTTGAGTGAATTTTAAAACTTAAATTGTTGATGGTTTATGTTCATTGTGGATGATATTTTTAATATGCCAATTTCAAAGGTTTTTGAATCTAAGGAGCACCTGAATTATATGTATTTTAGCTTAAAAAATATAAAGCTGTTTATAAGCATATAAAAATATACGTGATTGTATAGGAATATTTTAGCAAAGCTAATTTTAAATATAAATACAACCAAAACTTGATGGTTACTCTGAAACATTAAAAAAATGGTAGAATGTTTCTCTTATTTTTTGATGGTAAACCAGCCACACTTTGTTATTTGTTTTACCTAGGGATCTAAATGAAACCTCAAGGATTATTTTAGTTTTCCTTTCAGGTTTTTTCATATTGTGTGTTTGTTGAGTGTCAGATTTTAAGAGATATGAAGATGAGTAAGAGAGACTTCCTGTCCTTAGAAAACTCAGTCTGCTAAAAGACATACACAAATAATTGTTATGTTCTGGAATAAGTGCCATTGTGAGAAATACTCAAAACAATATACCTCGAATTGTTGGGAAGAATCATAAAATAATATGAACACTGATGTGAATCTTAATGGATAAATAGGAGTTTTAATCGTTGTAGTGAGAAGAAGAACATTCCAGCCAAAAACGTACATATAAAAAGTTCTGGATCATACACATCAGAAAATGCGAAATTCACTGTGGCAAGGTTATATGAGCAAGTGGGTTTAGGTGAAAGTGATGAAGCTGACAATACCTGTTGATGTCAGACTTAAGAAACTTACATGACATTCTAACATTTATGCCAGTGTAACTTTGATTAGATTTGGCATGATCAGACTTATAAAACCTTGGTCAGGCTTATTTTCAGAAAATAATTCTGACAGTATTATACTAGAGGATGAACTGGAAAGGAGGAGATTGAAATCAAGAACCCTCGAGGGGGAAAGATAAGGGAAGGAGAGCAATGACCTCAACTGAGGTTTCAGTCTAGTAGTTATGAAGAAGAGGATGTAGAAGTTGGTGAAGGAAATGAAATCAAGGAATGTGATAACTGATGGATAAGTGGGAAGAAGCAAATGGAAGAGTCAAAGCTACCTGACTTGCTAGTTTTGCACTTAGTATTGGGGAATCTTAAGAGAATGAACAAGCTTGACTTTGAACATATTATATTTAAGATTGTTCCAGGATATTCTCTGATTCAGTGAATGTAATACTAAAACTTAACATTAATTTTCAGAATAATAAATTATTATTGTAATAGGTATCTGTTTTTGTACCTGATGTAGTTTCTTTTTCTAAATATTTTCATGATCTGTCTGCTGAAATGACACTGTTGTTATAAATATTTATTAATATAACAATAAGTATAAAAACTATTAGGCATTGATAAGGAAGTAAACAAAAATATCTTACTAGAAAATAACTTTAGTAAAGCCTCTTTCCAAAATCAAGATAAATTGCATAAGAATTACATAATGCAATCATAAATATATAATTTTTGTATTTGAAATTCAGCTTTAAAAGTCATATATTGCTGTAAACATAAGGATTCAAATAAACGTTTAAGTATTATAGCTTGTTATATTTATATTCTTTACTTACCTCTTGTCTCTATCTGTTATAGCATGGATTTCTCTATTCTACCATATCAATGGTCAGCACACTATGGTTTGTGCTTCACCCTACCAATTGTTTTTATAAATAACACAACCATGCCCATTCATTTACATGTTATATATGACTGCCTTTGAGCTACAGTGGCAGAGTTGAGTAGTTACAACAGACATATGGCCTTTAAAGCCTAAAATATTCTCCATCTGGCCCTTTATGGAAAGTTTGTTGATCCTTGTACCAAATTGTAAACTCCATGAGAATTTTCTGTATTAATTACTTGGTGATTAGATGGCCCTTAAGCCTAGAAAGGTTTCTGGCACATGGTGTGTACTCCATAAGAATTTGGTGAAGTAGTAAGTGAATAGATTATCTTTATATTTTTGTATCAAAAGGAATATAATAGTATTTATTCAGTTGACATTGATGGAGAAGATGTTAAAAAATTTTTCACAACAGAGAATCTGGTATTTTTAGTTTTTAAATTATTTTCAGTACTTTTAAAATTTTTAAATTGGGGGAAATAAATCTCTTGAGAATAACAAATGGTTCCTGCAGTAATAATCATCAATGTGTAATATAAGCTGAACATGAACTAAAAATATAGCAACAGTATTTTCTCCATTGCTTTTTGTTTGTGGTGTTGTCACGTGCATAGCTTTTTCTAAGAATCCTCTGTTTTAGCATAGTTGAGATTGTTTTTCCTTAGTGCCATTTGTTTTAATACTGTTTGTGAACATATTTATGTTGCCATAAGCATTAATGCAGATATTTTTGTTTAATTTTAAAAAGGAAGCAAAACCTGATTTTTTTTTTTCTTTTGCATTGCATTAAGAAATTAAATGAGCAAGCTGCAGAACTGTTTGAATCTGGAGAGGATCGAGAAGTAAATAATGGTCTGATTATCATGAATGAGTTTATTGTCCCGTTTTTGCCCTTATTACTTGTGGATGAAATGGAAGAGAAGGATATATTAGCTGTGGAAGATATGAGAAATCGATGGTGTTCCTATCTTGGTCAAGAAATGGAATGTAAGTTTAACCAATGCTAGGAGGCACCTGAGTTGTTGGTATTAAAAGCAGCTAGAATTAGATGTGATTAATATGCATGCCTCTTTTAATATTCTGTTATATTGTCACATTTACATAATTCCTTTTTCTTATTGAAGAACTAAGCAGTACCCATTGCTGTTGCCATTTATAGTCTTGTCTCTTCCCCTAAAATGCCAATTATTTTACATATCATTGCAAGTTAATAAATCATATTAAGGAAGATCATCTGATAATTCTTATCTTTAGTTGAATGTAATTATTTGTGTTTGCAGCACACCTTCAAGAAAAGCTGACAGATTTTCTGCCAAAACTGCTTGATTGTTCTATGGAGATCAAAAGTTTTCATGAGCCACCGAAATTACCTTCGTATTCCACGCATGAACTCTGTGAACGATTTGCCCGAATCATGTTGTCCCTCAGTCGAACTCCTGCTGATGGAAGATAAACTGCACACACTTTCCCTAGACACACTGTATAAACTCTTTTTAGTTCTTAACCCTTGCCTTCCTGTCACAGGGTTTGCTTGTTGCTGCTATAGTTTTTAACTTTTTTTATTTTAATAACTGCAAAAAACAAAATGACTATACAGACTTTAATCAGACTGCAAACAATAAAGCTGAGAATCGCATGGCACTCAGACTTTGTTTTAAACAGAACTGATGTATAATTACAAATCTGATTGATTTTATTATGGCAACACTATTTTTGCCACCTTTTGCCACCTTTCTGTTACAGTGTTACTTTGCTTTTATCTTTTCTTTATCAACAGCTTTCCGTTCAGTCTGGAGGCTTTCCATGACTACAGCCATTTAAGTGTTCAACACTGTGTACGATACCTACTATTTGGTAGCTTGTAAATGAAATTAAAGAATAAAGTTTTATTTATGGCTACCTATGCGTTTGTAAGCAAATATATTGCATACTAGTATATTATTTTAGTTATATAAATGAATTTTGTCTGGGGATTAAGGTTGGGTGATGAATAAATTAATGCAGTCTTTTAATTTTGCTCGAATGGTAACATATTAGAACTTTACTAAGTATTTGATACTTAAATATATCTATATTTTTAACTAAATTGTTGAACTTAGTATGGCACCTGAACCAGTTTTGAATTTAGTCAGGTTTTTACTTATGAAAGTGGCTGATTTTTAAGTCAGACTACAATGAAACTTTTCTTAGATTAATCTTATTTTTGTAATGTATTTATAGATGATATAGCAAGGTGGTTATTTCAAGGGAAACCTGAATAAAGTACTTGAATAAGGGCTATTTAATTATGAAACTTAAAAGAAAATGTATATATCTACACACACACACACACACACACACACACACACACACACACACCTTCATAATGGAGGACAATGTTTTGCAGTATATAATCATTCTATTTTTGTAAATTGTGTATCACATTAATTGAAAATGTTGTCTACTAATTAATGCTGTGAAGTGAAGTTGATTGTTTAACTAGAAATTATGAATATCTTAACTGCCTTTATTTACTTCTTGTTCAAAAAGGAAAAAAAAAACTATAGAATACTTTGTAGATGAAACTGTTTAAGATTAATGAAGTCATATTGTGAATGAAAATCAAAATCAATGCTTTGAAGGTAATTATGTTACCAGTAACTTATTTTTGAAATTTATAAAAGTTTCTTTATAAATGATACTTTGTTAGCATAGTAAAATATATTATTATACTATGTGTATGTTTGTTATAACGTCGCCAAAATTAGTGCTCTTTTAAGTGCCTCTCCCAAAAGATCCTGGATGGAAGGAGGAGGAAAAAAATACTAAGCTATTATATGACGCTCTTTGTAAAGATGTCAGTGTATAATTGCGGTACTAATAACAAGGATTTGGTACTATTTCTATTGTAAATTTAGAGTTTGTATATTGTACCTATCAAAATGTGTTTGGGTTTAGATTTTAAGTTCTCTACTGAGCTGTATTTTTCATTGGTTTTTAAGTCCTGTTAAAAGTTTAGAAACTTCATATGTATCATCACAACTTTTGTAAAGTATTTTTAATATTTTATGGTATTCTACTGTAATGGTAGAGTTGCTTGTATTTATGTGTATAATTGCTGAGATACAAAGTGCTGAAACACCATATGGAAGTTATTTCTTTCAAAGGCATATCCAGGAAATCTTATGACTCTTGTGCTGAAGGTAAGTATTATTATATTTACTTAGTACTTAAAAACCAGGTTATCCATTCCTACTAATGAATCTGAAATTACTCATTTAAGGAAGTGACTTTTTACAAGACTTAAAGAAGCAACTTGTCTGTGTATTGACTATTAATCTGAAGATTTAGGTCATTGCAATTTTTTCGCATAATTTACTATGCTAAATATCACTTATAGCTAGTAACCTAAGAATTGTAATTACACTTCTTAAATATTATTGCCGAAAGTTTGGTATTGGCCCCTTCCCACTCTTTTCATTTTTTCTGTGTGATCGTGTCTTCTAGTTTGTCTTCCCATTCTGCCTACATGATTCACAAACCTGTGTTTTCTAAACAAACCTCACTTGTGAGTTCTAGACCAATATATACTTCCAATTGTCTCTTCAACATATACACCTGGATGTTTCACAGGCACTTCAACTTTGCGCATTCAAACTGAATTTATCACTTTTTCCGAAATCTGATTCTTTCATACTCCTTTGCTGGAATTATGTAATAATTATAATCCAGAAATGAGGAATTATTTTCAATTCTGTTGGCAAGGCAGATTTTTAAGTATACCTCCTCACTATTACAGCTGATGTAGTCTCTTAATTTGGGTTTGGATTTTGAATTTGTCCCCAAATAGCCTTCCTGTCTTTGACCTTTCCCCTAAAATCCATCTTCCATGCATTGGTAAAATAATCTTTCAAAGTGATTTGTTTTACATGTCTATCTTCCACATTGGACAGAGCTCCTTTAGAGAGAGATTGTTTCTGTTTTTGTAACCCTAGCACCTGTTAAAATACATATCTGGCAACTAAATAGAGGTATAGTATTGCAGGTTCTCTAGCCCTCCAGTCACTCTAGACTCAGTCTAAAACAGTTGCCACTGGCTATTTAAATTTAAATCAAATGAAATTAAATCTGTTACCTAGTTATACTGGCTCTTTTCAAATGCTCTGTAGCCACATGTAACTGTTGGCTACCATACTGGACAACACATTTTAGAATGTTTGGATTATCACTGAAGTTTCATTGGACAACCACCCCAGACCCTTGCTGAAGTGAACATAGTTTTGTATTAACATCCCTTCAACATTCAAATACTCTCCAAAGTGCTAACCCTGACTGATTGGCCTTCAGCATTTATGTCTCTCTGTCTTGCTTCTGTCATTAACAATTTTGCTGTGTCTACTCTTCAGAGACCTGTATCAACATGTGTCCAATCAGTAATGCCTACCATACAAGGTATTTCAACAGAGGAGATGCTTGTACAGAGGCATTAGAGGTAACACAGAGATCAGAACTGCAATATGCAGCTACTAGTTCTAGGGGTGGGGAAACAGAGGAGAAAAGTTGGGATTACTAGAGCTTTGGAGCTCAAAAAAAGGGGGAGGTGCTTCTCCCTCCCTCCCCCCGCCACGCCCTGCCAACTGACCTTGCTGTAATTCTCAGGGATACAGTCAAGGCGGTTCTGGAAGTTCTGAAGTAGTTAAAGACTGGACTCAACTGCCATTATTAGATCAACACTGATAGAACTAAAAATCAGACAAAGAAGTAGATCTTGTTTTCCTCTTCATCCCTTCCAAAACTTCCCTCTTGTACTTCCTATTGACAGAACCTAATAAGGCATCGGTCAAAAGGGGTCAGTGAAATGTAGTTTGCAGAACCAGCATCTCAGAGCAGAGGATAGAAAGGTAGAATTGGGACTGAGAAACAACAGGTAAAGAACCAGCACTACTGCTCCCTTCAAAGATTCTTTTTTATCCAAAGGTGTTAATCCCTAAAACTCTTTAACTCTATATGTATTTGTAGACAGGCTGGAGACTCAGGAGTTAGTGTACTAGTTCTGCTCATTTCTATGAAAGGAGACTTTAATGCTGCAATTTAATGCTTTATTTTGAAAATTGTCTGTGGAAGGGTTTATGTATTGTAATCATGAATTCATGCCTGTCTATTCATTCACAGATTTATTGAGTGTCTACCACATGCCACATAATCTGTCAGGTAGTACATATATAAAACAAAACAAACTTTGGTAATGAGACAAAAGTAATCTCCCAAATCCATCTATATATCCAGTGTTAGGCACTGTTAACATTTTTGTGTTGATTCTTCTGGACATCTTTTATAAATGTACACATGTACAAAACTATCAAAAAGGTGTCTCATTTTGATAATAAATGTAGACATGTTTCTAAGAAAGTTTGTATAGATCTGCCTCTCCTATAGAGTTATAGAAATAAGTGATTATACAGAAAATGTTCTGTTTTCTGTATTTGTGGACATGCAATGTGAGCTGCTGTATATGTATATTTCATTTTGCACGCTTTGTCTTTTTACTAAGTTTACAATGAATAATTTCTGTCTGGCTCACTGAGTATGCAGATTTAGTTTTGAGCTAAGTTGTCAAACTGCCCTTCACAAAAACTGTTCCTGTTCAGTTTAAACTGACACCAATAGTGACCGAGGCTGCTTTATATTTTTAGTGGCAGCCAAAGATTTATTACTCTCTTTGCATTTAAAAAAATTTTTTTTTTTTTGAGTTAGAGTCTCACTCTGTCGCCCAGACTGGAGTGCCGTGGCCGCTCCCGGCCACCGCAGCCTCGACTTGCTGGGCTCCGGCGATCCTTCCACCTCAGCCTTCCAAGTAGCCGGAATTACAGGCATGTGCTACCACGCCCGGCTGATTTTTTGACTTATTGTAGAGATGAGGTCTCGCTGCCCAGGCGGGTCTCGAACCCGCGGGCTCAGGCAATCCACTCACCTCAGTCTCCCAAAGGCGCAGGATTACAGGCTGAGCCACCAAGCCTGGCCATTTTTTAAATTTTTAATGAGTGTATTTCAGTATGTTAATTGACTGTTTATATTTCTTGTGTAGTTAACTACCTGTTTATATTCTTTACTCTTTTGGCTGTTCCTGTCTGTAAATTTGCAGTAGCTCATAATAGGAATCATTAATTCTTATTATACCATGCACATATTTTTCTTCTGTTATTTTAAGCTTCCTTATTATTGCTTTATGACCATTATTATTTTTATGTAATCAAATCTATTTACCTGTTTTTTTTATTTCTTCCTTTAGTAGACTAATTGGAAAGAATTTTCCCTGGCCAAGGTTATACAAGTATTCACACATGTTGTCTCCTGACATTTTTATGTTTCCTGTTTTTATGTCAGTTTTTAATGCAGTTGACAGTTATATTAATTTAAGTAGAGAAGTAAAAGATTCAACATTTTCTGCCAGTATTATTTAGTAATTCTAATACGACTTATAAAGTAATTCCTCTTCTTCCCCATTGGTCAAAAGTGTAAGCTCCCCTAGATAGTTTTCATATTTGCTATTTATACTTTGTTCAATTTTATTTATCTTTTTATTCAGCCACATCCTAATTTAATCAATGTATATTATTTGAATATTGATTTAAAATATTTGTGTTGTATACAGATATCTAACAGGTCAAGTGTTAACTCCCTAACACATAAGTCTCTTATTATTTTATTTCATAATTTTCTATACTGTTCAGATAAATTTTAGAATTATCTAATCATTCTTTAAAGACTGTTGGCACTTTGTTTAAAATATAGTCTACATAGATAGGATGTCGAAAATACAGAGAAATTGTGGCACCTTTACAATATGAATATTTCTGTCTAGAAAGAATATTGTTTATTCCTGATAGATACATATGTCCCTCAGTGTGACTTTCAAATTATTTT